TTGAGGTCCTGTAAGATCTTCCATAAAGCTTTCCTATAGAGCAGCACAAAGCAATTCCAGGACTTCAGGGGTTAATTGGATCTGTTCCAACTGGCAAGGGCTGGGTGTGAGAGGCTGAGTTTGGGAAAAACTGTTGGACTTGGTATGCAGAGTTTTCTAGGAAAGAGGGGGAGGGTTCTGCAAAAGCAAAGAAGTAATGGGAGACAGACTAACCCATCCTTTGCAAGGGAGGATCCCAGAAATGATCCAGCAAGAAAAAACATTTACTCGAGAGTCCCATAAAATCTCAGAGGCCAAGTGCTAAGAAGATGAGGGTCTAAAAAACAGGGTCTGTCCCATAAATAACACCAAAAATACCCATTCCTGAAGTAAAAACATTCCTTACTCTATATTCTTCCAATAAAAAAGTGGCCATCCATCCATATTTCCTTATAGCAAGCTTGGCTGCCACCTCAGTGAAATTTAGAGTAGGTAGACTTGCTTAAACTCAGATTGCATGTTGCAATGAAACGTTGGCTAGTTCTCAGCAATTGCAAATCACCTTTGCACTTCTTTGTATCTCTCAAGAAAAGGGACAACCATATCTGAGACCACCCAACTCAAGTTCTTCCCTGTCCCTAAGATGCAAGTGTCAAACCAAGTACAGGTAGTCCTCAACTTACAACCACAATTAAAACCAAAATTTCTGTTGCTAAGTGAGACATTTGTTAAGTGAGTTTTGCTCCATTTTGACTTTTCTTGCCACAGTCATTAAATGAATCACTGCAGTTACGTTCGTAACACGTTAAGTGAATCTGGCTTTCCTGTTGACTTTGCTTGCAGAAGGTCAAAAAAGGGGATCACATGAACCCTGGGACCCTGCAACCGTCATAAATATGAGTCAGTCATCTGAATTTTGATCACGCGACCATGGAGATGCTGCAACAGTCGTAAGTGTGAAAAATGATCATAAATCACTTCTTTCAGTGCTGTTGTAACTTTGAATGATCACTAGATGAACTGTTGTAAGCCGAGGACTTCCTGTACTTGAGCCAGAAGCAACACTTATGGGTTCTCTTTATGAATAATGCTATCTAGGAAGAAAAAGAAACCCAAAGGCTTAGGATATGCTCATTGCTCAAAACTGCTGTATACAGCATGACTCAAAAGGGAAGTGTAACCAGGTTAGGAGTGGAAGACTAACTATACCTCCCAGTATTCCTCACCATTGGTCAGGTCAGCTAGAACAGTTGAGAACTGTAGTTCTGCAACATCATGAGGGCTACTTACTCCCTATCATTGACCTAAATGTTTTATTCCTTCCTGTAGATCCAGATCATTGCATATTTCCTTCCTCTTAAGTTCAAAATACCTAGGCAGTGTTGACTGAAACATAACCAAATCATATATTTCTGTAGGCCTCACCCAGACAAAGCACTGCCTAGCAGAACAATACTGGAATCTGGATTTCATTTGTGAAACTAAAATATACTTTCCAAATTGCAGAAAATAATAATTCCTCCCAATATTTATATTGGTTAGATCTCACCTTGAGAACTATGACCAGAACTGGGCACCAGAAGTCCAGGAGTCCAAAAAACTGGGACAGGATGCAGAAAATCATCCTTATGTACCCATAAGGAGAGTTTGAGAAACTGGGTATATTTAGCTTTGAAAAGAAAGGTTAAGGGAGATATAATAATACATTTCAGGCATCCAAAATGGCGGCTTGTAGAACAGCCAAGATTCTTCTCTATTGTCCCTGACTGCTACACATAGAATAACAGCCTTAAGCTACAAGAAGATTCTGGCTGAATATTAGAATAAATTTCCTAATAATAAGAGTAGTTTCATTTACAGAACCAATTATGAAAGGAGATGCTGGACATCTGTGAAAAATGCTTTTATTGTATTTGGATTCTTCCACTGAGCAAAGAATCAGATCTGATAGTTTAAATGGCCACCCATTTCACTCTACAATGCCAGAGCTGGATTAATGCTGGCTGACATGGGCACCATCTGAGATTCACATGACTAAATGAAGATCTCATCAGAAAGCAAATTCCCCTTAGGCTTGCTTTGAATCCTTGGGTTGTTTGGATCCCCTCCTAATCCAGCCCAGTGGGAAGGCTGAGGAGGTCCAGCAATGTAGATTTTAGCAGCAAACATCAAGACTATGATGGGTCCAGCTGCACTCCCCGCCCCGCCTGCCTAGTGCCAATGTACTGTGTGTGACACAGCAAGTACTCATGCGTATTCTCTGAACACTGAGTGCCCCCCCTCTCTCAGAATATGTTCTGAGGGAAAAGAAAAACAGACTGTTCTGTCCCAGAATCGCAGCCTGGAACTACAGCACTGCTGGGGGTGATGGGCTCCTGAGGCAGCGGTTTGTACCCAGGAGCAAAGAATGTCCTCCTCAATTTAATCACCCCCTTCCTTTCCAAACTAAATCCAACCAAGAAAAACTACACACTGTGTTTGATTTCTGCCTACTTTTATAAAAGGGCATATAAACAGATTATCAGCTAGGAGGACTTTTTCTTCCTGTCCTAGTGAAAAATAAACTTCACCCATTATGTTCTTGTAGAGCAGAGAAGACCTCCAAATAAAAACTCTTCCATAGGGCAAAATGGCCTTGGATCCGAACAAAACTTACTCTCGTTGCTGTGTGTTCCTACTCCAAGCAGCAATTTTGTATTTACTCCTCTTAAGCCAGCTCCCACACATGGGGGTTAGGGTGGTTTCCGGTTCTTGTCTCAGTTTCCAGACCTTTTTGAATACCGCTGTGACTTCCTCTGCTGGAAGGTGGGTTTGTGCTAACCTCAAGAGTGGCGATGCAAAAGCTTTGCAGGGTAAAGGCTGAAGGAAAAGCAAGCCTCCTTTTCAAGAGCCCATTTCTCTTCATGTTCCCTGTCCATTTGTGTTAGAAAAGCATCATCTGGGCAGTTGGGTCTACATCATCACAATGCATCATCTTCCAATTTTTATGGCTTAGGCTTGGAGCACCCTATGAGGCTGGATGCCATCATCTGTGCAAGGTGACAGATAATTTTGCAAGCAAGGCAGCCAACCGTGTTTTTTTCACTGAGCCCTGGCTAAACAAACCATAGCTGGTGAAATCAAACATTTGACTTGATGTAGGTTAACAACATTTTAAACTGAAAAACATGTTGAGGGTTGCGTCTTTTGGCCATCCATGAAGTCCTTCAAGACTTTATTTACAAGGTCATGCTCAGTGGTGGGATTCAAATAATTCAAACAACTGGTTCTCTGCCCTAATGATTTCTTCCAACGACCAGTTCACCAAACTCCTCAGAAAGTTAACAACCGGTTCTCCTGAAGTGGTGCAAACTGGCTAAATTCCACCACTGGTCATGCTTGAAGAATTGTGGGTTGATGGTAGCCAATATTTCCCACCTGTCTTTTAAGTAGAACAATGGTTCTCAATCTTGGCAACTTTAAGACATGTGGACTCCCAGGATTCCCAGCCAGCCATGGGATGTTGAAGTCCACATCTCTTAAAGTTCTCAAAGTTGGGAAACACTGAAGTAAAGGGAGTATATGGGATTTCTGTAACTAAGTTCTACTGGGAGACAAAGTTACTTTAGAATGCTTCCAACTTTTTAACAAGTTATAAAACATACATGAAAGTCCCCAATATATTTTATGGCAACATTTGATGACTGACAGACTGCAATTTCTACCCAGAAAATTTTGCAATCTTTCTTCTAAATTGTTGAGTGCTGTTTAGCAGAGAGGGATCTGCACTTTGAGAAAAGAAATGACAACTGATGGGAGCTTGTGCCTCTTCTGTCCTTCTACACAGACTCCCTTTTGTAGTTACCATTGCAGGCAAACAGATATTCCATGTGCAGGCAAAACACAACCATGGCATCTCTCTCCTGCAAGAAACAAATTCACTGGGGGAACTGGCTAAAAGAGTATAAACGTGCTTGATACCCTGAAGGGAAAAGAAGAGGAAAGGGTTAATAGGCCAGGAAGTGCCTTAGAGGCACCACTTCCTGCGCCAGGCTCTGGTGGTCCTCCACCCTTGAGAGCAAGGCTGTGGGGCAGGACTGTGCATGTTTGGGAATGAATGATTGCATAGGGGAGGGAAATAACATTTTTTCAAAGAGGGCTCATAGTAATGGGTGTGATCCAATATCCAATATCTCTTGCGCCCTTGCTGGAACCATGCCACACATATTCTCAGTATGGAGAATTTGGTAGGGAAGAGAGTTGGGATCAGGGGGAAAAAAGAGGGGGTTTGCTGGAAGAATAGCAGGCAGAGATTAGGATTTCTACTGACTCGGTGCCTCCAGACGCACTGGACTGCCACCCCATCCCCGCCATTGGGCATCAGCTTGGAAAGGCAGTTAGATCTGAGTTTAATTATTTTTTTTATTTTTTAATGAATATTTTTTATTATAGTTCAAAAAAACACACACAAAAAAACCACAAATGTATAATAGTTTTTCTATCACGGTGTAACATCACCAAAATATCCATGTAGATATACACCAATAATCAGAAAGTAGAAATAGAAAATATTTAGAGATTCTTATATACAAATTTACATTTCCAATACTTATTGATTACCATAATTATATCATCATCTATAATTATAATCCAACATTATCCTGCAACAGCCAGCGTAGATAGGAAATCTGGAATTGTGTAAAGGTACAGGAAGCAGACATACAAGGAATAGAAAGAATCCAACATTTTGATTTAAGATCATTTTATAGTTCTACTGCAAGTGCTCGTGTCTTTTTTTACAGAGATGCAAGGGGGTATACCTTTGCCTTTTTCATGCCAGACCTGCCTAATGTGTGACAAACAAGTTCTGCCTGAGAGTGAAGCATTACATGTTCATCCCCACCTTCTCCCCTAGGAGCTCAGAGTGGCATAAATGATTCACTCTCCTCCTTTTTCCTCATGCTCAGAACAACAACAATATCCACAAGGTAGATTAGGTTGGGCGAGAGCAGAGCAGCAATAGCCTATGCAAATACTGAAGTCACTCTGCAAGCTGGGTGGCTCAGTGGGAGCAGAACTCCGGTTTCTCCACTCTTAATCTGGTAAGACTACTTGGAACATCACTCTGGCTCTGCAGCTTGGAGAAAGGAGACAGGTCTTGTTCCCAAAAGAATGAGCATGGAGAATTGGGGGGCTGGATTGAAGGACGTTCATGCTTCCAAATGTCCAACGAGTCTTTTCTCTGTCTCACAGGTCTACTTCCTAAGTGGAGAGGCTGGTCTCAACAGGCTTGTCAACAGTAGAGCCTTATCTAGCAAGCAACGATGACGCCAGTATGTGTGGCCAGGCAACAGCTGCAGCCAAGTCACCTGATCCCAGGAACAAGGAGTCACCCTTGTCTTGGCACAGACACATCCAGTTCCAGCTGAGGGCATGGCTGGCGGTCTGCCATGGCCAGCAAGACGGGTGCCCAGTGGCTTCTCTGCACAAAGAACAGGTTGCAAAGTTCTCCCTCCATTTTGTACCAAGGTGCCAGCTTCTGGCAACTACAAGCCCCAACACGCACTGCATTCTACTCAGTTAAAAAGCTGTGAAAGAAATCTGTATACTTGAGAGAAAGGGTTACACACAAATTGAGCGGCTTCTGGAAAGTCCCTGTCCTCTAAAAATAATGAGCAAACGACTGGCACAAGACAATCACCGATAATAAAAATTTGAATTAGAAGCCTAATTGTTCCTGTGGCTCAGCAATCAATCTCAACTCTGTTCAGGCACTTGCCTAAATCTGTTGTCTTGAGACAGGATGGAAGATAGGGTCCTGCATTCTACCTGTTCTCCAAACAGGTAAGTTAACAGCAGAGGTTTCCTGTTAACAGGTAAGCCCAGAGGTAAACCTGATAGCCACTGAGATGTTAAACACCTAGAAAAATCAAAGACTGTAGAGATTGACCTTCCTGCCCGCCTCCTGTTATTTCATCCCTACTTCTCCGTATGTGTTGTCGGGATCCACCAACACCCACTATCACCATGCAGAACTCAATGGAGACTCTACTTTTATTAGGCCATTATTCAGATGGGCCCCTGAGAAAATACTAAATTGCCTGTACTCTGAGTGTCTTGCAACCTCAATCTCTTACAACTACTATAGCACAAAAAGAAAAGCCCAGCATAGCATCCCATTTTAAAAAGCTGAAAAGATGGGAAAAGAAGGGTGTGTGTGTGTGTGTGTGTGTGTGTGTATTCCCTTCCTTAACAAAGGTGCTTATGCTTCCTTGGAAACAACGTAAAATTATATCCCCACTTGTGCTTTAACATAGTGGCATTGTGGGAAATTTGACCTAAATGGCAGCATATAAATATCTTGGTAACTTTCCAGTAGACAAGATGCCAGCTCCTGTCTTGGTATTCTGTGATTTTATGTGAAGAAATGCATGGAAGCCCCTTGAACTAAAGCTTATTATTTCTCAACCCTAACCTTCAAAACGAAAAGTTTAGCTGAGCCCAACAATTTCCCCCAACCTATGGTCTTTTGGATCCTCAGGAAGCAGCTTTGACCTAAGGCTTCCTTTCAACATCTACTGTGAGCATGCCTAAGAATTCTAGATCAGAGGCCTTCAACCTTGGCAACTTTAAGACTTGTGGACTTCAACTCCCAGAGTTCCTCCGAAAACTGGCTGAGGAACTCTGGGAGTTGAAGTCCACAAGTCTTAAAGTTGCCAAGGTTGGAGACTCCTGTTCTAGACTACTTTAATATCAGTGCCTCAGGCTGTAACATAGGCATGTTTCACAGCAACCTACACTCACGTATGTTGGGGAACAACCCATACTGTCATAGAAGTTTAATATGTTAAGATCTGCCACTGAGCCAAGTCATAATGGACTCAGTTGCCAGCTACTGCTCATAATTTTCTGTATGCATTGTTCTAATGGCTATCCTAAACTCTTAATAAGGGAAGGTGTTCCAAGTTTATTGTGTAAAAGGTCATTACACTGGCCTCAATTCTCACTCTGTGAACATAACTAGTATTACACAGGTGGAAAGCTCTTAATGTAGCACAGAAAATGGAAAAAAGAAAGAAAGAATATAGTCAAAGGCCATTCTTCCTTCGCATCTCTTCCAATATTATAACTTTCATTCAACAGGACAGTATGGGTTATTTTCTCTCTCTTGTTCTGACATTTAGGTTCATTTTATGACATGATGACTGGGAGGAGAGGGGAGCTTAGAAAGACATTCCCCCCGTTTTGTTTCCATTCCATATGATGCGATAGGGTCATGGCTAAGATGGTCCTGATGAGATCGATATTCTACAGTTAATATGCCAAATCGTAGGAAAATATTAACTCTCAGGACTAGGTTCTCAACGGTAATTGTCTGGCGTTCATTAGCTCACAATCTGTGGACTGTAACACTTGGGTGACCTGCCATGCATGTATTATTACATGCAATAAAACATGGGGTAGAGTATCTGTAAAAATGTCTTACCCCCTGCCCAACCAATAGCTCCCCTTCCATAGGTTTTATGTCCCTGTATTTCAGAGGAAGGGAGAGTTTCAATGTTCAACATTGAACATTGTATGGATTTTATGTAAGCATAGAGAGTACATGGACATATATTACAACTTCTGAGTTATGCATTAGTGAGATGGATAAGTAGGGAGTCTTGCTAAAGCCCAGCATGAATGGACATAAAATAAAATGAAGAATTCCATCTGCCACAAATGATATTAGGCTGCAAAATGTATGGCTTACACTACTGGATGAAGGGAAGAAGAGATAAGGGGCTATATGTTTAAGTGTAAAGAAAGGAGCTTCTTTTCTAGCAGCTAGTTTAGCTTCAATGTCAGACTAATAGTGCACCCTCTTCTACCAACCTATTGTGCTAGATGAACTAATTGACCCTCAGTAGTCAACATGTTAATTCCTTCACAAGCAAATTGTGCTAAAAATATAGTTTAATGTTTTAAATTCACCTCCCAAGACTGTGGGGAAAATAGGAAGAGGAAAGAATATTATGTATGCTTGCTGCCTTGAGTTTTTTATAAAATAATAAAGGCGAGGTAAACACTGATTAAATAAATAAAGGGGACATATTGTTCTAGATTTGCACTGTGTTTCTAATGCTTATTCTAGTTTTTCTGAAGTGCTTAACCCAGGCATCCAACTGCTGCCCTGGGCTTCAAATAATGCAGCCCCGTAAGATTATAAACTTTTATCAATTGAGAGGTTCTTGGTGCTTGCTGAGCTTGGTGGTTCTCTTCATTATATGTGAGATTAGAATCCATGGCTTTTCACCAGGGAGAAATTAGACTTTGAAATAAATGGATACGGTAAACCTACAATCCTTCAGATTATCAAATGCTGATCACCTGTAAAAGAAATTAGCAAATTAGACATGGCAGTTGCTCAGTAGACACAGTTTGCTGGATTTAGAGTTGCTTCTGGCAGAGTTTTCAGAGGGATGGGTCCAAAGAGTACAACTGACAGGAAGCAATAAGGAACTCCCTAGTAACAGGTCGCTAGTGGTGACTAGAAGTTGGCCAGGCTGCTAATGTTGTTTGCTAAGTATATTCATGTGAAGTTAAGATGGTATTCACATAGATGTAGCTGTAAATCAGTCCCAGGTTAATTGTAACTAGGACTCTGCCTGTGTGCTAGAAAAGGAAAAAATTTATTCAAATCACAGTTTGACTGAAATTTATCTAATTTTTTCCAGCTGCAATTATCTTTCCATGCCTATATGCTTCCAAACTTTGAAATGATTTTTTTCTAAACAAACAAACAAAAAAATGCGAACTTTAGAAGAGTAGCCCAAAACAAAAATGCTACTGAACATTATACAGGTGTGTGTTATATTAGGAGAAATAGCTTGTAAAAATAGGAGTATTAAGAAAACTGTACTAAACTGTATGCATTAGGAGAAATATCTATGAAAATGCTTATGGCTTTTCATGGATGCTTTAAGAAACTCGTGCAAGAAATGGGATGCAACAAATTCAAGCTTGGATATGTGAGAAATTGAGTGAAACTGAATTTCATGGGTTCTGCTCATTGGAATTCTATTTATTTTGAGGACTTCTTTGCTGGAAGAATGAGATAGAAACATAAGGAAAGAAAGATTGTAACCTGGTTGAAGAAACAATCCTAAATGAAGCTGCTGCTGTGAAATGATATATGTTGCTTACGTGTGTGTGTAAAATGCTTAATTTAAAAAGTATATCTAAATATGTAATTTGAGACACGGAAGAAACGTAGTAGATAGCAAAAGGCAGGTGAAGAAATTTATCTGCTCAAAGAAACAGCCTATGTTTCTTCAAACTCACAACTTGTCTTTCTTGCTGCCATCTGAGACAGTTGCACTTGGGCCTCTCTAACCTTTTTCTCTCTCTTAAATATGTTGAGATCTGGAAGCTGGAATTCCTTACTCCCAATCAACTTCCCTCTTTCCTCACTCTTCAAGATGCTTAATTACTTTTGCACTTAAAACAACAGATAAAGGGGGGGGGTCATCACTTGCCCTAATAACATTAAGTTATTCCTTTCTTTATTTTTCTGCAAGCATTATGTAATCAGCACAAAGCAGTAATTAATTACGAATCATTGCCATGAACAAAAAAAATCACACCAAACACACATATTGAATGAACGAATCAGGGGGTGTACAAAATAGTCAGCGGCCTAGTCTGCTTATAAAAATATCTGCCTGTGATAATCCTTGGCAATCAATCTAGGCATTGTAGGCCAGTGTATATTCAATCGTTCTCCCCCTTGTCCAAAACAAGCTTCAACCTGTCCCAGCAGGAACTAGCTAGTTAAGGAAGCCAAGAAGTCCTTGATCTCCATGAAAGCTGCCAGAACAAGAGGTGGATTGGCAGGAATTACAAAAGAGGTTGGGTGTAACTAGGACACCTAAGAACTACTCTACACTTGCTCCATTAATTGTTCTTGTATCAGTTTTGTATCAATAAAGAAGTGGAGGAAAATAATTAATTAGTCTGCAATGGTCATGTGAAAAATGGTCTTCAGTCACTTTTTTCAGTGCTGTCAAACTTCAAATGGTTGTCAGGTCAAGGACTATCTGTATGTTCCTTGCTCCCACCTTTGCTACCTGTTCATTTCTGAGTGAAACTGAAAGGGCCAGTTTGGCATGCTAAAACCCCTAAATGGCCTTCCTCCAGATTATTCTGCCTCTCACCCCAAGATCTTCTGAGATCTTGAGAGGTTCCAGCAACTTACTGAGCCATAGTAGAGTTTTGTTAGGATTCAGCCTAGCTAGCTGTGTGAACAGAGCCAGAGTGATTTGCCATCCCTAGTTATAGTTTAGCACTATGTCTTTTTGCCTGTTGTCCTTCTCCCAGACTGAAGATAAACCTAGGAATTTCTCAAGGATATTCCTAAGAAAGTTGGGTTGGGGAAAAAGAATCTGAAGTAAAGAAAAGACCAGGAGTCTAACTTTGAGAAACAGAGCCAGATAGTTTACCAAACAGTTTTAGCACCAGTAGCATTTCCAGGTGGTAAATGGCTGCTGTGCTGCTCCATTCTCTCTGAGCATACGCAAACTGCCTTTCCAGCATCAAAGGAAAGCAGCCCTAAATGATAAACAGGACTCAATCCTGCCTCCCCTGACAGCTTTCCTTTTTTATAAAATGCTTTTTCGGGGAATATGCTCTCAAATGCATAGGTTGGCACTGATTCTATCAACCACCCACCCATCTGGCTGCACTCTTTAATG